TATGATGAAAATTACAGGCCTCTCTCATCTTTTTAAGTGGGAGAACTTGCACAATTGGTGGCTGACTAAATACTTTTTTGCCCCACTGTATATCCCATCTTATCTTGGGTAGCTCAGAATGGTACACATGGGAGCCTCCTATTATTTTATTCTCACAATGCAACCCTCTCAGGAAGTTTGTTAAAAGGGAGAGGAACTGGCTTTAAATCGCCTATGAAACTCCATGGTTACATGGGGACATGAACCTGGATTTTCCAGCTTAGTGCAACACCTACATCACATATGCTCCTGATTTAATTCTGAGCTCCAAATTCACCCTCACCCCAAAGCAAACTTTGTGGAATCCAGTAATGCTAAGATACATTGTAATCTTTCATAAATTATACACTGGATCCTCTTGAAGTAAAAAGACCATCAGGACAAATATAAATATGAGCATCAACTTCTAACTAAAGACTATTTTACTTGCCTGGAGTTGTAAGAATTAACTTGTTCCTGGCCTTTCACTGCTGATTTCAACTCTGTTCCCACGGTAGGTAAATTACAGCCAACACTTCTAAAGAAAATAAGGCAAGACATTTTTCCCTCCATTTCCTGTAGAATTTCCCAGCAATTCAACAAATGCAGCCATTTTGCTATAACTTTATCTCCATCAAGTAGGAAAAAGTGCTAATCACTGCCATTGACAACAACAATGATTGACTGGTTTTATTTTATTTATATAAAATGAGAACATATCACCGATTGAGTGATAACCTTGGGCTTTCGCAAACTCTTACACTTTAATTGAATAATACCAGACTGTGGATTTTTTTGTTTCATTCATAGGCACATAGTAAAAACTGTGATGACAAAAAGAAAAATAACAAAATAGGTATGTTGTATCCAGTGTTGGATGCAAGTACATGTGTCACAGGTTTGCATCATGACATCATAATGCACTTTTTTGTCATTTGCCTTCCTTTCACTCTCCTGAATACACCAAGGATTCCATTACTATTTTGCCCCACAGTTTTCAATCAGTTTTAGGTTCATATAGGATAGTACCGATATACTCCAAGTATATGCAGCACCCTGCTGAAAATTGGCTTCATAGTTTTCTATCATTTTGAGACTGGAAGCTAACAAGACTGAATTGTAATCTCAATAATAGGCTTTATAGAATTAAAGAAAGAAATCTGTTAAACTCTACCTTAAACTCAGAAAAATCTGGAGCTACTCAAGTGTGTGTCATAGCCTGGTCACTTCGCATTATCACCCCATGCTCTGTGGCCTTTGGCATTCCTAAAAATATTAAGTGTGGCCTCTGGCCACAAAATGCTTACCCACCCCAACTATATTATGTATTTATAAGGGATAATATCCCATGCATTTGATCAAATTGCCTCCAATCCACAAAAGTTATGCCAAATAAATCTGTTGGCCTTTAAAAAGTTGTACTGATTTTTTTTGAAGCAGTATTTAAGTACCTATATTAAAAATGTTTTGTCCATCATGATTGTTTATAAACATCCACAAAATGTGTGTGTGTGTGTGTGTGTGTGTGTTGAAGAAAGAAAACTGATAGAATAATAGTGATAAACAGGTAGAAGTGACAAAGGAAAGAGATAGAAACCTCATCTTCTTATACATCACTGTGTAGCATGCTGGTGTCCTTGAACTATTTCCAGCTTTCCATAATAAAATGTACTCAAAATCCTCTGGTTGTTTCATATTCAGGATGAGTGGTGGCCCAGATGTTTCTTGTGGGGAAAAAAAAAAAAGAGCCCCTGAGTATATTCGTATTAATCAAAGAAGAAAACGTATGCAGAATGCACAAATGTATCAGGACATGCCACGACTGCTTCTCCCATAGCTCAAGTCTAGCCTCTTCTTATCACTGCCCTCCTTCACAATTTGACAGGTCTACTAGCAAATCCAAAACTAGTTGCCTATCTTGTCCTTTACCTCATGCTTCAAGCAGACCGTTTGCCCCATTTATATATTTTTAAAGTAAGAAGTCTGCAAAAGCATGCAAAAAGGAGTAGGAGGAGAAGAAAGAGGAGGGAATAAGAACTACTGTATCTTTTAAATGGTGAAAAAAATAGCTTTGGAAAATGAGAGAAATCAGCACAGTGCATAGCTGGTTTCTATTGCAAACAGAATGAGATTTCCCTGGGTTTCTGTGGACAAGAACACAGTTTGAGCAAGCCATAATAGCAATGTTTGCATATCACATTAACACTTAGTTTAATACAGGGTTTGTTGGATACTTTTAGAATATTGAGGGCCTATCATAGATGCAAGCATAAAAATGCTGCCATGGAGAAGTATGCCTTCATGTTTTATTTTCACATCGATTCATATCCATCATAAGAGTCAAGGATGGATATGAATAGTTGCAAAACATTCTATTTACCATAATGCTTTCTCCCACCCCATCTAACTACCCAGGATGATCCTGGTCCTGTTTAATGTACTTTTGTCCCCACTTGATTCTGAACATCTGGATGTATTTTGAAACAAATATTAGATTGCAATCAATTGGCATGTTTATTTTCTAAGAATATCTATGGGTTGATGTGGAGTCCAATGAACTCTTGGAGATAAGGATGATGCCAGAGGCTGGTGATTTGCTTTGCAGCCTCCCAAGATCATACTGTTGTTGATGTTGTTTAATTATATTTTAATGAATGGAAGAAAAAGCCTGACAGACCCAAACTTGAAGGGGTCAATTAAGCATCACCTTTTCATGTTCCCTCCTCCCCAGCAGCATTTTTCTTCAAAACTGAATTGTTGCAATGTAATTATTGGATCATGGGTTATATTAATTTAGGTTAATTTAAGCAATCTAGCTTTATAATCCATCCATAAAGTGGGCTCATTTTGACATCAGCTGTCTTTAAAGGAAACTAAAAATAAACACTTCCAAAATCTTTCTCGCAGCCATGCAAGAGAAAGATAAAATAGAGTAGGGGATGCGTGTGAATCAGAGGCTTGCTTGATCTTTGGATATGTCACACTAAAACATGCTTTGTCATAACATGACATAGATGGATGGACAGCATTTATATCACTTGCAGGGATGTTGCTATCAATAACAGCTCATCTTTAGCAAGTTCTCTACAGTAGTTGAAAAATACTTACCAACTAAGCTGCTAAAAGTAGAAGTTATTGCAATGATGTATACTACAAATTAAACAAAACATATATTAGGAAAAACACTAAAAATAATTTGATCATGTATAAATAGCTGGCTGGAAAGTACTTTATATAGAATAGAACTTAGCAGTAGAGATTCACAGCTTTGCCCCAGAAAGGGTGAGGTATTTTGCTGAAAATTGTATTAAATAGTGCCATGTCAGAAAACACTTCATAAGCAGATTTGGGTACCCAATCATCTTCAAGGAGGGTGGTAAAAAGTATATTATCCCCATTTCTTTCCATGGTTGTTTCATTTACTGTTTGTCCTCTCAACCCACAAATGACCCTACGTTACTCTCCTTCATGGCTTATTTATCTCTAAATCTTTCCAAAACATTTAAGTTTATTTTGAAACTGCTATCAGTAAAAAGTGTAAAGTAACCATGATATACTTTTGCATAATTAATTCCATTAAGGTAGTGTTTAGATTTATTTGGATTTTGGATTTTTGTTTCTCTGTTACAATCTTTTTCTTCCAGACAAATAACAATACACAAGTTACCTATTATTGCAAAAATTCTGCTAAAATAAATTGGAAGTGATTAGATGTTTTCAGTATATAGTTTCTATCTACTATTAAATTGCTACAATAAGACGTTTCTTGTCTATTCTCTATAGGATGGCATAAACAACAGAGGATTTTTAGCAGTCTTCTTTACATTCTTCTAGAGGAGTTGGAATAGCAGTGGACTTTAGTTCCCCACCACCACCAGAAAAGAGGACCTTCCAACTTACAGAAGTCTGTAATTTGGGGATTCTCTTGGACTCTCAGCAACTGCTTAAAGAACAGGTGGCAGCCATGGCCAGGAGGACCTTTGCAGAAATCCATCTTGTGTGCCAACTGTGCCCATTCCTGGACTGGAAGGCCCTGTTTGCAGTCACTCATGCCTTAGTCACCTCTTGCTTGTGCTACTGCAATGTGCTCTATGTAGGGCTGCCCTTGAAGACCATCAGGAAGCTACAACCAGTCCAGAATGCAGTGATGTGAATAGTTATGGCTGTGCCATAGTATGTCATGTAACACCACTACTTTATGAGCTGCACTGGCTACAGTAGGCTTCTGGATGCAATTCAAGGGGATGGTTATCATCTATAAAGCCCTTCATGGAAAAGAGCCAGGCTATTTGTTGAACTACCTGTCTCTGATGATTTCTACCTGTTTCACAAGGTCCAACAGGGTGGACTTGTTCACCCTGTCCCCTCTATGAAACAATGCCATTTGATGGGACTTAGGAGGTATGCTTTCTGTTAGGATTCTGTCTTATGGAACAGCATATCCCCTGAGATTGAGATGGCCTGACCTTACTGTCCTTCTGTAAAGCCTGGCTCTTCCCCCAGACATTGGGCTAGGGAATTAGATGAGACCATTTGGTAATGGTTGGTATTATGACTGTGGGTGGCCTCAAATGTACTATATTCTTACTGTTATTTTTGGTTTTTGTTTGTTTGATTTTTTGTTTCTCTTTAACCTGATGTTAGCCACACAGCATTGTAATGTGTGTGTTAGGCACTCATATAAACTGACTGACTGAACAAAGAAACAAACTTCTAGCACTTCAGCCAACATGGACACCAGTCTAGAGAAGGCTGCTTTATTCCATCCGATGGCAAACACTTCTCTCTAACCTAATACTGCCATAACATTATTATTTTCTTTAAAAATGTTCTTACAATATTTTTTTCAAATATAATGGGTAAATCCCAACTTGGCTCACAATCTGCTGGAATCAATGGGATTTATGTTAGTTAAGGTTTGTTTCTATTGATGGGAATGTGCCTACTTTAAGATGGCCAAATCTTATGTAACCAGATGACTGAAACAAGTCCAAAAACTGATGTAAAATAAATAAAAGCGCTTTTTAAAAAACTTTTAAAATACATTTATTCCACAAAAATCCATTTTCAGAGTACAATTTAAGAATCTCCAGTTGAGATGATTTATAACCTAACAGAAGCCCTGCAGTACTGCTGGCATGTCAGTTATACTGAATGGTAGTTAGTAAAAGTAGATGGTAGGACTACCCTGCTATAAATCTTTCTAGTAAAGTCAGGTGAAAGAATGTCAGGTTATAGGTATAGGATTATATACTTGTAAGTGGTATTTTTATGGCAATGGCAAATATATTATGGTGTATATTGATTTTATAGTATTTGTGCAATCTTCAGCTTTTGTTTAATTTTAACTGTAATTGGATCACATCCTACTGGACTGCATCTTTTGTTTTGTTTAACACAACAGTCAGCTATTAATCAGCCTTTCAGCCTAATATGCTTTCAAAATAGTTACCTGCTGAACTAATGCATTTGGTTAATCAAACATAAATGTGAGTTTCAGGAGAACATTGTATCCTGATGAAAAAATAGTATATCATCACAACAGCAAGTGCCAGATGCTACTGTAAATCAGTGAGAAAAGGTTGTACAGATCAGGAGACTGGGTTATTGCAAAAATGTGCAGCTGAAAATGGCAACCATTTGAGCATGAAAACGGACAACTTTCTGTCTCCATCATAATTATCATTACCTGGTAACACATAATAACATACATAATACACTGACTGTGAAATGCATTACATGTAGCACAAATGGCAGGAAAAAATAAGGTTTTTTTTTTTAAATTTCAAAGGTACAACATTTTATGTGAAGAAAGCTTCCACTGATGGTGAACATTTATTAACAGAATATTAACTTCTTTTTCTTGCTGCACTAATTCTGTTTTCATGCATGAGCCAAAGCCTTTTAAAGCTCTTTTAAGATCACAGTTTAGGATTATAAGTAATAATAAGAAATTTTGCTATTATGAATACAAAATGTGTTTCTTCAAAAAAAAAAAAAAAACTCAGTAAGATTAAATATCTTTGGGGACCTTAAAGGAAAGATGTTCAAATCATAAAAATGCTAAATGAAAGAACAATGAACTGTTATTTTTCAAAGGTAGTTAAGAATACTTAAAAACAAATAGTGCATAATTTTATTCTCCAAACCAGGTAGGACTGCTGCTGCTGCTGCTGCTGCTGCTGCTGCTGCTGCTGCTGCTGCTGCTTCAATTAATGTATCTTCTTGAAGACTGTTTATTAATATTCTACTTCAAGTAAACAATTTGTTTTAGGCACATGGAGGGAGGTGATCATTACATTTGTTGGGCAAACCTCCTCCCACATTTAAACAATAACACCCAATAAAGAAGAAAAAGGAGAAACTGGCAACCAAAATACTACATTTTCTCTAGTTAAACTTAACTTACCAAGTTTGCAGAAATTCAGTGGTTTCATGGAAAACACCATTGTAGTTTAAAACTATATCCTATTAGTTAAGTGTTCATGTTAGTTCTGCATCTGCAACTGGACCAAATGAAATGGTGTTCAAATAATAACAAACCTGGCTGTTTAACAATGCAATGTAATGTTAAAGCTTTGCTATGCCCTCCTATTCAGAGAAGGCTTTTTGATGTAACAGAGTTTTTTAAGTTGGAGAGGAAAACAGTTTTCAGTTATCTCTCTTCTCTCTGCAGGCCCCTGCCACTCAAGTCTGCTCCAAAGAGTTGAAATATAACTCAATGTAAGACTCCAAGGTTGAATATTGTTCATAATATCAATATTGTTAAATCTGTGAAATCAACATTTTATTCAACTAAATTTTTAGCCTATTCCTGTTATGGAGTGTAACACATCCTATAAAAGAAGGAAATGAAACTCCAGATACATGCTACCTCTTTGCTCCAATTAAAACAATTAGGCTTCTAAGTACTTTTAAAGCTCACCACACATAGTGTTATTCATGTTGTCCTTGGCAAGCAGAGATATAGCAATCTAAAACTGCAACCCATTTGTTCGGCCATACTTTCACAGAATTCACAGAGAATTAAAAGTCAGAAGAAGCCAAATGAACTATTCCTTTTTTTCCTGGAACCCTTAGTCAGTCTAATTCAGTGTTTCTCAACCTTGGCAACTTTAAGATGAGTGGACTTCAACCCCCAGAATTGTTCAGTCAGCATGCTGGCTGGGGAATTCTGGGAGGTGAAGTCCACACATCTTAAAGTTGCCAAGGTTGAG